TAAGAAAGTATTTTGTTTTTGCATAGTTAATCAATTTTAGGGTCTGGAAGACTCACAAAAGACTTAAAAAGAAGTCTTCCGACACATCCCACCTAAATCTAGTAGAATTTAGGGTTCCCACTTAAAATTTGGAAAATTTTAGGTTTTCCTCCTGAATCAAAGTCTTTTCCTCCTGAATCAAAGTCTTCCATAAGTCATTTAGGAGTCTTCCATAAGTGATACAAGAGTCTTCCATAAGTGATACAGGAGTCTTCCAGAGGATGTCTATGGATTAGATCTTAAAAATAATTAATAAATTTTATAAAAAATATTTTCAAAGGGAAAAAATTAAAATCATGTATTAATAAAATTTTCTTAAAGATGGAAATTTAGTTTTACTGAAATTGAAGTAGTAAATGTAGATTGAGCCATGATAGTCTCTGGTTTAGGGTATGGTAACAAATGTTGTAGTATTGTTAGTATTTTTAGGGTTGGATTTTGAAATCTTATATATATATATATATATATATATATATGTGACTATCTAATAACTTGATCTAAACAGTTTCTAAGTTTCTTTTAAGTTTAAGAAAGTTTTTTTTTTGCGTAGTTATTCGATTTTAGAGTCTGGAAGACTGTCAGAAGACCTTTAGAAAACTTGCCAGAAGACCTTTAGAAGACTTCTTGAGAAGTCATCTAGGACGAATGGGTTAGAAGACTTCCCATGAAGTCTTCTAGTGTAATTTATGGCAGACGACTTCTTTGGAAGTCTTCCAATCCGAACATGACATTAATTTCACCTTAAATTGTAATATAACCAAAGGTAAACCAAACTTTATTTACCTAATCCTAAACATTTACAGACAAATAAATATGTTTTTTTCACTTTTGGTGTTTCTAAAAAAAAGTTAAAGACACGAGGAAATCCTAGATGTTTCTCTAAGGCGATTTCAGAGGCGATTATAAAGGCGATTTCCGTCTAAAATCTTCTCCGTCCTTTTCATCTCTCGTAACCTTGCTATTCTGGTAAATATTGCTTCACCTTCGTCTTCCGGAGTATTGTCTTCGATTAAACTAAACCGCTTGTTTTTTTCAGATCTGAAATCGTTTTTGTTGTATTCCAACTCCATTGTTAGTAAGTTCTTCCTATTTATTTAATTTTATTACTGAAACCATTCGTTTCTCCGTCTTGACCTTCTTCCTTCTTGTCGAGTTTTTGCAGATCTGTAACCGTAGCTATCGGCGAACGTAACTTCTCTGTTTTGGACCTCGACTTCTCCGCTTTCCGGCGGTATGTTCATCCATTAATTCGATGTATCATGGTTTCTTTTCAGATTTGACCTCGCAAAGTCTTCATGAAGTTTTCGCGAAGTCTTCACGAAGTCTTCGTGAAGTCTTCATGAAGACTTACAGAGGACTTGAAGAAGACTTACAAAAGATTTCAAGAAGACTTACGGAAGTCTTCTTTACGTCTTCGTTAAGTCCTCTTGAATTCTTCCATAAGTCTTTTTGAAGTCTTCCGTAAGTCTTCTTGAAGTCTTCCGTAAGTTTGTTTCTGCTCCCTTATTTTTTTGTTTGAGATGTTTTTTTTTTCATTGTTTTGCAGGCAGTAAAATGGATTACCAGAACTTCCGAAGAGGATGTTCACCTTAGGGGAATAGCCCATTCCAATCAAAGCATTGGATATCATACTGATGACCCACATTTGCTTCATGCTGTAAATGCCTCTCTACATGATGATGAATGGGAGGACCTGAAGAATTCAAGGTTGGGAGTGTTCATCAAGTTTTGGGAGTTGAAATTTGGATAGTCGTCAAGGTTAGTTCTTTATATGCTCTGTTACCAGATTGATGTCCAGAAGAAGTATGAGCTCTGGTGTCTTATTGGTACAGAACCGGCGAGGTTTTCCCTGATCGAGTTCGAGGACCTCACTGGTCTAAACTGCGAATATATTAAGAACCTGGATAATCCTTCTGTTGAGGTTACAGATGAGTTGGCTCGTTTCTGGGAGTTGATGGCTTTGGATATTGATTATGTTCCAAGTTCTCAGAAAATTATAGAAGCATGTGAGAGATGTGGAGAGTGGTCTCGGGATGACCGCATGCGGTTGGGATACCTAGCCATCTACATAGGATTCATTGAAGGAAAAAAGTATTCATCCGCTACACGGGCGAGCACTGCAAGGGTAGTGATGGATCTAGAAGACTTTGAGACCTACCCATTAGAGAGACTAGCCTTTAAGACCTTGATTGAGTCTGTGAAGGTCAAAAATTTGACAAAGACTTTTTATACCATAGATGGGTTTATTCAAGTTCTCCAAGTCTGGGTCTACTACGCTCTGCCCGACCTTGCACAACCTATGGAAAACCTATACGGAACAAACCGAGCCCCCCTTTGCTGGGTTACAAGGGACATAAAGGACGAAATTTTTTCGAATAGGCTATTAGCACACAGGTATATCTGATTATTCCAAATAATATAGTACTAATTGATCGCTTTCATTTATAACTTGATATTTAGTTAAGGAAAACTCGCGTGAACTTCAAATAATATAGTTGACCACGCGAGTCTACATTAAGTAAATATCAAGTTATAAATGAAAGAGATCATTTAGTAATATATACTTTGCAATAATCAGATATACCTGTGTGCTAATAGCCTCTTTGACAAGTTTTTTTCCTTTATGTCCCTTGTAAGCCAGCAAAAGGGGACTGTGTTTGTTCCGTATAGGTTTTCCATAGCTTGCAGCCAGGTCGGGGAGAGAGTAGCTGGCCCAGACTTGGAGAACTTGAATAAACCCATCTTTGGTATAACAAGTCTTTGTCAAATTTTGGACTTCACATACTCGATCAAGGTCTTAAAGGCCAGTCTCCCCCATGGGTAGGTCTCAAAGTCTTCTAGATCCATCACTAGCCTTGCAGGGCTCACCCGTGTAGCTAATGAATACTTTTTTCCTTCAATGAGTCCTGTGTAGATGGCTAGGTATTCCAGCCGCATGCGGTCATCCCGAGACCACTCTCCACATCTCTCACATGCTTCTACTATTTGCTGAGAACTTGGACCAGCGTCTATATCCACAGCCATCAACTCCCAGAAACGAGCCAACTTAATATATTCACAGTTTAGACCAGTGAGGTGCTCGAACTCAATTAGGGAAAACCTCATCGGTTCTGTACCAATAGGACACCATAGCTCATACTTCTTCTGGATATCCAGCTGGTAATAGAGCATATAATGAACTAGCCTTGACGACCATCCAAATTTCAACAATCTTGATGAACATTCCCAACCTTGAATTCTTCAGGTCCTCCCATTCATCATCATGTAGAGCGGCCTATAAAGCAGGAAGCAAATGTGGTTCATCAGTATGATATCCAATGTTTTTGCTTGGAATGGGCTCTTCCCCTAAGATGAACAATCTCTTTGGAAGTTCTGGTAAATCCATTTTACAGCCTGCAAAACAATGAAAAAACAACATCTCAAACACAAAAAATAAGAGAGCAGAAACAAACTTAAGGAAGACTTCAAGAAGAATTAATAAAGACTTCAAGAAGACTTCGTGAAGAGTTCGTAAAGACTTCCTGAATACTTCCTGAAGACTTCGCGACTAGTCAAATCTGAAAAAAACCATGATACATCGAATAAATGGATGAACATACCGTCGAAAAGCAGAGAAGTCAAGGTCCAAAACAGAGACGTTACGTTCGCCGACAGCTATGGTTACTGATCTGCAAAATCTCGACAAGAAGGAAGAAGGTCACGACGGATAAATGATTTGTTTCAGTAATGAAATGAAATAAAGAGGAAGAATTTATTAGCGGTGGAGTTGGAATACAACAAAAACAGTTTAAGATCTGGAAAAAAAAACAAGCGGTTTAGTGTTTTTATTATAAAAGTAAAGAAAATATTCAGAAACTTTTAAATCCAATACATAAATCATTTGTTTTCTCCATTTATAGTTATATATATTTTGTTCTATAAATAATTAATATTTTCTTGAGTAGTTGATTTGTGATTTGCGTGAATTTTGTTTCTGTTAGATATTGTGTTGAACACTTATTTTTATTTTGAAATATTTTATTATCATTATATATGAATTATTTTATTTAATTATTATTTGTATCAGTTTCTATTAATATTATTTAATGCTTTGATATCCGGTCTTACTCTCGTTACAAAAACTTAATTTCATAATAAAACTGTCAATATACTTTAATGAGACCAAGACTATTCTTATTTTGGAACTATGGATCTTTTGGTATATTTTTCGTACTTAGATTCTATAGTTTATTTTTACGCTTATTTTTTTAATCTTATTTTATATAGTGTCTTTTTGTGTTTTACAGATGGTGTATTATTAATTTTCATGTCAATATTAAATTTGTGCTGGAAGATTTTAGGGAATTCATAACATACGATTTCTCTTTTATAATATTTATTTAGATATAATAATTTTTGATATCTTGTTATCATAAGACAACTTCTTTTATCGCTTCTTCTTTATTGTTTTCTATGTTATATTATTATTTTCTATTTTTCACTAATTATTATTGAAGTCTTCATTTAATTATGTATTATTTCTGGTTATAGGTTTTCATTAATTTCTTGTTAACATTTACTTCCCAAGTTTTATGTCAATGCGTTCGTTAGCTGCTATTTTTTTACAAATTAAAAGTTAGTTATAAATACACAATGTCTAGTTCTTATAAGTATAACTTAAGTTTCCGAAAATATCATGTTTATACTTCAGATCAAAGTAGGAATCTGAAAAGTTCAGTAGGTATAGGCCTAACAGATGATGTTTTCTTAACAAAATAGGTTGCATCATTGACCCGAATGGAGAAAGGGGCACATCCAGAAATTGGGGTTGCTGCACGTTACATCGAACCCGCTCAACATGTAGACTGACCTTTCGCTGAGACGCTGCCTGGACATGAGTTGACGGTTCACATTAACATAACCTTGAATAACCATCGATTTTTGGAAAGAATAAAAAAAAAATTCAGAAAATCACAATGGAACTAATCGTCAATATAGTGAAGCGGCAACGAAATGCTTACATTCTCGTCGATGAGGAGCATGTCTAGACTCATGATCTCCCCGCCTTTCCTCACATTTCTGGCCTTCCAAAACCTCAGCAAGTGAACCTCAGTGGTGTTGGAGCAGCACCCAACTTTCAAATCGGTAAGGAGGATGAAATAAATCGCCATTGTAGCAATCGGAAAGTTGAACAAACGTTTCTTCTAATACTCATCGAAGTTTTGTTGTTCATGTCCGCAAAAACGGATATTTATACTCACACTGCTACTTGGTTACTTTGGTGGCTTTAATACTCCGGAGCTGATTAATCACTTCGAAAATAGGAGTAAAGAAAGTGTGAATGCACCGAGACGCTATGGAGAGTTGATCATTATTCCGATATCTACAACCCTCATCGGCTGATCTAGGGATCTCAAACAAAGAGCACGAAGAAACCTATAAAGTTAAACGGCCTCTATAATCCGAAAGCCCAAATGCAATCTACAACAATAAAAACCCCAAAATATATATTTTACCAATAATATATTATATGAGTTAGCTCAGCTCACTTATTATATGAATTTCAATATGTAAACTAATACTCAGATTGTTGGTGTCGAAAACCGTACTCTCGAAATCAACGTCTGCGATAACTTCTGTAAAAGGAGGATCATTACTTTCCGCAAAAGTGAATCTATAAAACTCAGAGATCGTTTTATAAAACTCGAGGATCGTTTTATAAAACTCGAGGATCGTTTTCTAAAACTCGAGAATCGTTTTATAAAACTCGAGAATCGTTTTATAAAACTCGAAGAATCGTTTTATAAAACTCGAAGAATCGTTTTATGAAACTCGAGAATCGTTTTATAAAACTCGAAGAATCGTTTTATAAAACTCGAGAATCGTTTTATAAAACTCGAGAATCGTTTTATAAAACTCGAGAATCGTTTTATAGAACTCGAGAATCGTTTTATAGAACTCGAGAATCGATTTATAAAACTCGAGAATCGTTTTATAAAACTCGAGAATCGTTTTATAAAACTCGAGAATCGTTTTATAAAACTCGAGAATCGTTATATAAAACTCGAAGAATCGTTTTATAAAACTCGAAGAATCATTTTATAAAACTCGAGAATCATTTTATAAAACTCGAAGAATCGTTTTATAAAACTCGAGAATCATTTTACGAAACCGCAAAAAACCGAAATAGCCGTAAAATGCGAACTAGTCACGACTAGTTCGCCCATGGGCGAACTAAGCCGGCCCCCGGCTTAGTTCGCCGATGGGCGAACTAGGGACACTCCACTAGTTCGCCCATCGGCGAACTAGGAATCACTCAACTAGTTCGCCCATCGGCGAACTAAGCCGGCCCGGCTTAGTTCGCCGATGGGCGAACTAAAGACTTCTCGGATATCCCGCGCCTCGAACTCCCGCATTCCCGATTCAAAACTTACGTCTTTCGACACGATCACATTCTAAACTACGGCTAAAACATCTCCCGTTCCGTCTCGATCCGACTTACCGTTCGAGTTTTACGATAAAAACCGTAAAACTTCGCTTTCTCGGAAAGAACTCGAGGAAATCGTATAAAACGGCAACGGTTAAACAAAACACCGAACATTGCCTAAACTATACGATTTATTCGAGATTTCTCGTTAAAATCATAAAAACGCGTTTTTTAATAAAAAACGCCGAGTAAGTCGTAGAAAACGTGTTTTTAATAAAAAGAACGCCAAGTAAGTCGTAAAAAACGTGTTTTTAATAAAAAGTCGAGTAAATCGTAAAACCTTGCGATTAACTCGAGTAATTTATTAAAAACGACGTCAGATCAGGAAACGATCCCGTAAAAAGTCGGAAAACGGTTTTTATCACAAAACGGCCCGAAAGGACCTAAAACGCGATAAAAACCCATCTCGCGATTTCAATGGAATCTAACCCGCAGATTTGATAACGTTTTGACGGTTTATTCGCAGAAGGAAAATAAAGGTAAGTTTGAAGATAAATAGAAGATTTCCGCGGAAGAAAAGGAAGGATCGAGAAAAATGGAAGATTCCCGAAATACTCAAATCCGGCAAAATGGAAAGATCGAACCGTCAAGGCAAGGAGTATATAAACCAGAGGCGTAGGGCAGAAGAGGGGGACGAAATCAGACCTAAAAAGACGGCTGTTAGCTTAGGAGTTTAGGACTTAGCATTTAGACTAGCAATTCAGATCCTTAGAACGTTTCGACGTCTACGTTCTTCAATTCTTCTTGTAACAGTTGTCGATTCTAATTCAATAAAAGCTCTCATTCAAGTTCTTACTCTTTATTCGTCATTGTTCATCCATATTCTTTTAAATTCATTTGTTTTAGTGATTTTCGCAGAGATCCAGGATCTCGGGAAAATTAGGGTTTCACCCTAAGTTTATATATTTGACGGAAAATCGACAGTGTGGATTTCGGTTCCCACAGTTTGGCGCTAGAAGGAGGGGGGGTCGGATTCTCTTACACAATAATCGCTAAAACGAACGAGAAATAACATACCTAATCTGAACGGAGACGTCATCTCGTTCGAGAAAAGAGCAACGATCGATTCGGTCAAACCTCTCAACGATCTTCTCGTTATTGAGCTGACGATCCGGAATATGGATGTTGCAAGGATATTAGTCGATACCGGAAGCTCGGCTGATATCATCTTCAAAAATACTCTCGAGAGAATGAAAATCGATCTGTCTGAAATCGCGGAAAACGTAAGCCCGCTAGTAGGACTCTCGGGAGAAATCACTATGACCCTCGGAACGATCAACTTGGCAGTTCGCGCCGGGAGCATAGTGAAAAACGTCGAGTTCAAAGTCGTCGATCGACCTATGTCCTATAACGCAATCGTAGGGACACCGTGGTTAAATTCGATGCAAGCGATTCCGTCGACGTACCATATGTGTCTCAAGTTCCCGACTCCGAACGGGATCGAGACTATATGGGGAAATCGACGAACCTCGCAGGTTTTCTACGCTGCGGATTTAAAACGAAAAAATCTGCCGGTCGATATCTCTTCCAAAAAGAAAAAGAAGTCGACGTCCCTCGACAACGCTCCAGAGCAAGATAAAACGGAACTCTTCTGGCAGTTGCGAGCGGCCGAGGCTTTGGAAGGTAAGCGCGAGCCAACCTGCGAACCCGTCATCTCGGTATGCATCGACGAGATTTTTCCAGAACGCTGTGTCGAAATCGGTGCGAACCTGAGCGAGACCTTAAAAGTCGAACTCCTGACATGTCTAAAACGAAACTCGAACACGTTCGCTTGGACTGCAGAAGATATGCCAGGGATCGACATAAACATCACATGTCATGAACTCAACGTTGACCCAACATCCAAACCCGTCAAACAAAAAAGACGAAAATCCGAAGCGGTCAACTGCAAAGTCGACAGACTCCTCAAAGTAGGATCGATCACAGAAGTTCGATATCCTGACTGGCTCGCCAATCCTGTTGTCGTAAAGAAAAAGAACGGAAAATGGCGAGTCTGCGTCGATTTCACCATCTCACTAAAGCGTGTCCGAAAGATAGTTATCCGCTGCCGCATATTGATCGTTTAGTCGAGGCAACCGCGGGAAACAAACTCTTATCTTTCATGGACGCCCTCTCGGGATACAATCAGATCATGATGAATCCCGACGATCGGGACAAAACCGCATTCATAGCCGATCGTGGAACCTACTGCTATAAAGTGATGTCTTTCGGTCTAAAGAATGCTGGCGCGACTTACCAACGACTCGTCAACCGAATGTTCTCCGAACAACTCGGAAAAACAATGGAAGTGTACATCGACGATATGCTCGTGAAATCGCTCAAAGAGCAAGACCACGTCATACACCTCTAGGAATGTTTCGAGAGGCTCAACCTTCATAACATGAAGTTGAAACCGGAAAAGTGTCGGTTTGCCGTCGCGTCTGGAGAATTTCTAGGGTACCTCGTCACTTACCGCGGAATCGAGGCTAACCCGAAACAAATCACGGCGCTAATAGAGATGGTCTCTCCCAGGACGAAACACGAAGTACAAAGACTGACCGGCAGGGTCGCAGCACTTAACCGTTTTATCTCGCGATCAACGGACAAATGTCTACCTTTCTACGAGACATTAAAGGGAAACAAAAAGTTCGAATGGTCAGAGGAATGCGAGAAGGCTTTCCAACAGCTGAAACATTACCTAGCTACTCCGCCAGTACTCGCGAAACCCGTAGAAGGAGAACCATTATTCCTTTATATCGCAGTATCAACGACCGCCGTAAGTGGCATCCTTATCCGAGAAGAACGCGGCGAACAAAAGCCAATCTTCTACGTAAGTAAGACACTACTGGACGCAGAGACACGATATCCGATGATGGAGAAATTGGCTTTGGCCGTGGTCATGTCCGCAAGGAAACTTAGACCGTATTTCCAATCTCACACCATCGTCGTTCCCACTTCGTTCCCTCTCCGCACCATTTTGCACAGTCCCAGCCAATCGGGAAGGTTGGCAAAATGGGCGATCGAGCTGAGCGAGTACGATATTGAATATCGCTCAAAGACTTGCGCGAAATCACAAGTGCTCGCAGACTTCGTAGTGGAACTCCCGACGGGAAGTACGTCCAACCAAGAGCCGAACTCGACCTGGATCTTGTACGTTGACGGATCCTCGTCCAAACAAGGTTCTGGGATTGGCATCCGACTTGCATCCCCAACGGGAGAAGTATTGGAACAATCATTCCGATTGATTTTCCACGCTTCAAACAACGAAGCCGAGTATGAGGCCTTGATCGC